AACTGTGTCTGTATGACCCTGAATGCTGTCATTAGCTCTCCTTTTGGCACTTCTAGACTAACTGCTAGGGCTAGCCACGCTGGCCAACGCATGTGACAAATAGTCAAGAAACAACCCAACCAGGCCAAATAGTCAAGAAGCAACCCCTCAACCATGTGTGGTGAACAGCCTGCAAGGCCTTTCACACTGAACTTATCAAGTATCAAGTATTAACATTTGGAAGATAGGATGTTGCTATTAATGCATTAACAATGCCAATTTTTTATATTGGGCAGATGGGCCTTGTGCAGATTCTGCCACCCTGCTAAACCCTCCCCAGTCTCCAGTGGGCCAGTAGTCAGTAATTCAGTATCAGTACTTGGTCCAAGATCATAAATCCCTGTACACTAGTATACAGTGTACCTGTACTGTCTCCCACACAGACACACCCACAGTTCCCACTCCCCCTCCTGGGCCTCAGTTGCCACACAGCACAGGGTGAGCACACACCCTAGGAGAAACTCTGTTAAAGACTTGAGGAACTATGTGATTATGACATTCTGTTGATTTCACCATGTCAGAATGATGCGATGGGTAGAAGTTTCCCAAAATCGTAGGTAAAAACTATCATTTTGTGGGTGATTTTTAAAAATTACAGGTAAAAGTAGACTGTTTTTTTATTTTTTACTGAATAAATTTAGAAAAGGTTATAAGAATGGATATTGGGTATAATTGACCAGATTCACAGGTATTTTTGTCTGATTTATGTGTGGCTTCTGCAAAATTTTCCACTTGGGTATTGAACTTGAAATTGAAAAGCTGTTACCAAATCCAGGGTGCAGAAAGTGGGTGAAATCTGAAGATCTTTGGTGATGCATCAGCAGCAAAATTTATGCCTTCAGAAGATCTTGCCGACACATTTTGATTGAAATTCTTGCATTTTCGATATTCCCAAATCTTGAAGACTGCCGGAGATTGGGCTATGCATACACACACTACATAAAAGTTGCACACAGGTGTTGGCTTAAAAATGTGATTGGTGGAATTTGTGTATCTCATTAAAAAAAATGAAAGTGGCAGCCATTTCAGAAGACAGGGTAATAAAGGACACTCCCTCCTCCGGGGTAATAAGGGACACCTCTAAAAATGCATTTACAGTAGAACCTATCAGATATTGCCGGTAGATCCTGCACCACTAACCTCTTGTCGGCTCTGAACAAATGGACCCGCCTGCTGGACGAAAGGGAGCCAGTAGATGCAGTGTACCTCGATTTTGCCAAGGCATTTGACAGTGTCCCACATGAGCGGCTGTTGCGTAAATTGAAGTCTTTGGGAATTGAGAGTAATGTACTCAAATGGATCAGAGATTTTCTAGTAGGGAGGCAACAACGTGTCAGTATTAATGGGTCTGTATCAGACTGGGCTTCAGTGCGCAGCGGCATGCCACGAGGAAGCGTTCCCGGGCCTGTTTTATTTGTTGCCTTGCTCGATGTATGCTGACGACACTAAAATTTATAATACAGTGAAGAATACGTCGCAAAAAGTACAGTTGCAAGGTGATCTGGAAAGGCTGGTTGACTGGGCTGATAAGTGGCAGCGGCATTTTAGTGCTGACAAATGTAAAGTTATCCACCTTGGCAAGAATAATGAACAGCAAGATTACAGTATGAGAAGACATGGTTGCAACGACAGAGTGATGATGTCAAAGTCGAAGTTAATATTGACAATTTGTTGAAATTTTCTAAGCATATTAACGGTCAGGTTAATAAAGCCAATAAACGACTTGGACTGATCAGACGCTCTTTTGAGTTCCTAGATGCAGAAGCAATGAAGCAGTTGTTTGTGGCTGTCGTGCGCCAAAACCTAGAGTTTGGAAACGTCCTGTGGTCACCAAAAGTTCCAGGCTTGAAAGGCAAGTCCTATGAGAAAAGATTAAAGATTATGAAGCTTCCAAGCCTCAGTTATTGACGTCTGTGTGGGGACCTCATTGAAGCATACAAGTATACTCATGGCTTATACAAGGTCCCAGAAGGATTACTAGAATTTGAAACAAGAACCAACACCAGGGGCCATGGCTATAAACTAAAAAGACAGCGTTGGAATACATCCATGCGACGAAATTTCTTCTTGCTTCGATTCACCAACATGTGGAACAGCCTCCGTGATAGCATCGTTGATGCTTCAAGTATGAACATCTTCAAAAACAGACTAGATGAAGCTATGCAGGAGCATGTGTTCAGTCTTAAAATGCCCAGCAAATTACGGACCAGGCAATAAGTCCATCAGCTATCTCAATCAATCGTCAGTTATAGAAAGATCGGGTTCTTAAAGATCAGGTTCCCTTGTGAATCAAGTCACGAAAAGTTCAAGAATTGGCAACAGGCCATGGGCCTATTTCTTCAATGCCAACACTTCTATTCTATTCTGTTACAAAATTGTGCATAGAATGTCATTGAATGAATTGTGCACTGGGCAACATAGAATGAAAAGTAATTAACCTTAACTAATAGTTATTTATCCAAAAAAAATTTGATGGTTGTCACTAAAATATTCCTTCCTGTTTCAGGTATGGTATGTTTTTTGTTATAGTTAATTCACTTGACCCAATTAAAATGGTGTGAAATTACAAGTTGTCCTTGATGCTTACAGATACAGAATAAATGCTATACAGCTGCTGAAATGAAGCTTGCAGTGGACAAAGTCATTGGAAATGCTCAATGGCATGTTCATGGATACGGTAATATCACATCAATGATATGGTAATAGATGGATCTGCTAAAATCATATTGTTGTAGGACTATATTTATCGTGCTACCAGCCACGTTTTGGGCCTGAGGGTGTTTGTTGCAAGGGTGTCAAGAAAACAAGGTATTGGTGATGGTCTCCACCTCCCCTTCAACCATCCCAAACCACCTTTTTATTAGACTTTTCCTTGTGTTTATTTAACAATTTATTGAACAACACAACAAGAAGAACCAGGTATGTACATTGAACAGAGAAGAAAAAAGAATAAGCACAAAACCGAGGCACATGGGTTTATAACCTCAAATAATGGTATTTTCAAGTTTGCCTGCTTTACCCAGTCTGAAAAGCAAAAACAGATTAACATGATAACCTAAGGAGTGCTCTAAATCCATAAAAAATATCTGTTACATTAACTTTAGCATGATTAAGTTACTGTTGCATATCAAACAGTGAGCACTCTACTATGACGTCAAAACTGAAATTGATACATACTTTTGCTTTAATTTCGTACTTTAATTTCACATTACATTGCATTTCAGGAGAGGGGGGTTTGCAGGACCCATAGTAGGAAAATCCTACTTCCTTGCAATATCACTGAAATTGGCTTCCCACAACAATATTAATAAAGGAAAAACATGTAAAAGTCATTTATTCTAGATCTACATCATCTACAAAGGAAGAGGAAGACTTCAGAGTACTGTTTGTAATGGATGAGTACATTTTGCATGCCTCAAATGTTTTAAAATTGAGTTTTATTACAAGTATCCTGGATTACCTCATTTCCAGGGGTATTTCACTACACTTTTATTTGTGTCTGACACCTTACAAGTAACATATGGAATTTTTGGAAATCCCATACAATAGCCCTTGCAAAGAGCTTTAAAATGAGCCCAAACTTGTTTATGATAGGTATGTTTCATGGTAAGTAGTTATTAACAAAAAATGCTCAAAACCGTCCCTTATTACCCCGTTTGATGGTATTTTTTATCAATTAAAAAAAATGTTTGCAATACGTAATTGGAGTTCTATCTTAACCAATACTACCATATATGACATACAAGCTGTCAATAAAGGTGCTTATACACCAGGCGAATAGTTGCGTCAACTAGTTGATGCAACTAAAATTTGTGATGATTGATGTCTTCAGAGGCAAATAGCTGTTGCATTGCATCCAGAGTAGCTCAGGTTGTTTCTAGACAGTCTAGCGTGCCCAGTAGCAGCTCAGCCACTGTACTGAGCACAGCTGCGTTGCTCTCTCTCTTGCCCACTGTAGCGCACACAGCTTTGGAGCTCTTGCTTACCTCCACCATGCACACATTTTACTTGACAACTCCCAACATCGCACTGGTGCTGGCGCACTGTACTGAAAACACTCTCCTTGAGTATAGGTTCTCAGCCTGCAAAGCTATAGTTAACTCAAGTAATCAATGCAACTAATTGCCCTGTATATAAGCACCTCAAGCAACTGCTATACTTGACTGGCCAATAATAAACAAATAGTACTGGGCCATCAGAATTTCTCTATTGCCAATTAAAATCTAAGAAGCTATGTTGATTAGCCTATGCTAGAATGTTGTGGTATAGTTTTGTTTACATAATATAGGCAGTTTATTTGAAGACCAACAACATAAGTGCTTTGGCAATGTTAGTGGCATTGAAGGTAGTTTATTGATGACCAATAATATACATATACATACCTACATAAATTATACATGCGTAAAAAGGTTACAATGTTGATCATGATGCAGTGTTAGGTGCATCACTAGTTTCAGGTTCATAATTTTGTCAGTACTTTTGAGTATTTGATACCAGGTGGGTGGATAAACAAGATCACCACCTTGATAAACAAGGTCGCCACCCAAGAGGGTGGATAAACAATGTCACGCATGCCTTATAGAGCACTTAATGTTAGCTGCTAAGTACTATTTGGCCAGAGCCAACATCTGTTGCAGAATCCTGGCTAGAAGTGCATTCCAGATTACCTCTTTGACACAGGCATGACAGAGACTGAAGATGTGGCGAGGACTTGAGTACTCTGATGTTTGACTTGACTTGAGGACTTGAGAATTCTGAGGACTTGAGAACTCTGAGGACTTGAGAACTCTCTGACCCAGCATGACTTGAGAACTCTGATGGAACACTTCCCATTGATAGGATATTTGTACCAACATCAAAAATTACATTGGCAATAGAAGAATATATTCCATCTGTTGTAGATTTAACTGATAATTGAATTTGAATTTTATTTGAATTTTTTATCTTTTTTGCCAACAGTTTCTTTCTGTTTTCTATCAAAGACCAGAAATGGAAGGCCCTTTAAGCAAGTGGACAAATGTCATGAAAGGGTGGCAATATCGTTGGTTTGTTTTGGATGATAGTGCTGGACTTTTGTCTTATTACACGGTAAGTCAAGATATTTTAGCGTTTGTATCTTTAAATGCTTTGATTTATTGCATTTTCCAGAAATATTTTATTTATATCTATCTAAGCTTTGTAACAAGACAGTAAATAGGTATGCATTGATTTGAAGAATATTATAATATCCAAAGAATACAACAAAAATAAAACTGTTTCAAAGTTTTTGAAAAACTGATATATTTTTCTGTGTATTTTTTTAACTATTTGGTGGAAACCTGTAAAACAAATTATCCTGCAAGGTCTAAATCTTCTTCAAAATATTCTTGAACATTCTTGGCTTTGATTGACTATATAATTGGCATTTTTTGAATTTCCCAGCAAAATTTTTAGGTGTGTTATTAATGGAAAATTATAGATTAAATTTAATTGCAAGTGTCAGGTATAATATTATATCATTCCCTATTGTGTACATTTTATTTATATTTTTTCCCTTTTAAATATGCATTTAAACAAATTTTTTTTATATTTCAGTCAAAGGACAAGATGGTGCGAGGTGCTCGTCGAGGCTGTGTTCGTTTACGTAATGCAGTTGTTGGCATTGACGATGATGATGACAGTACCTTCACCATCACAGTTGATGCTAAAACTTTCCACTTCCAGGTAGAACATTACTTGTTACTCTGTGATAGCATAATTTTGAATGTTGTCTGTATACAAAATCAATTTACAGTAGTTTAATACTCGGTTCTTATAACATTAGGTGCAATAACTGCTGTTGATGAAACAATAATGCCAAAGAACATCAAGCAACTTCATTCTTTCCTTTGCTTGTGTTCATCTATATTATTTAATTTATCATTTCCATGCAATATGTGTTCCCTGAAATTTCATGTACACAATTTTATTATTTATGGTAGCATGGCTGAAAAATAATTTCTCTATTTAACCCTGTACTGCCATGTGTCACTCTCCGGGTAGAAAACTTTCAACTTGAATTGTACATTAACTATTAGGTGTAGCAACCTCAGGACGTTTGTACACAACAGAGAACATTTTTAAGTTGTCGTACATGGCGGTAACCATCATCGCAAGTCATTTTGCGCTCACTTGAACGTATTCCTTTTGGGAACTAGGCTTGTGACAGTATTGCCCTGGTTACTATGTCAGGTTGTAGAGGGTTAAAACATTATGGTAGGAATATATCATAGTATGTTATTATAAGGATACCTAGTATTATTTAATGTACGTACATGTTGTGATGAATAATAAATCTTTGTTGGCTAAATTCAATGCATTTATTAATTGGTCTTGAATTTGGTTCTTAAAATAATATTGATGGTTTTCTGCAGGCTCATGACCGGGACGAGAGGGAGACCTGGATAAGGGCTCTAGAGGACACCATCCTACGTCATGCACTAGCCATGACCAAAGTGAGTCATGTATAGACTTCTACATCTCATTATTTACTAGAAAACTTTCATCCATTATAGCTTGTAGAGATGATTATTTTATTAGGTTAGGGTAATTAAATTTGTGAGTTTCCGAGTAGTGATGCTGCTAATTTTTTGAGCAAAAATAAATATTGAGGCTGCTCTCATACACTTGTGTTAAAATAATTTGCTATAGCAGAATTAATATTTCTCATGCTATCATCACAGTGTATTGGGTATATGTAAAAATCATTTTATTTTATTGCTGACTCTGAAGTATGTATAAATTGTAACTTTATATATATATTTGGCTATTGTTTGCATCTTTTGACAGCGTTGGGACCCCTCGCGCCCGCCTCCCACCATGGCAGATTTTGACAAGAAGCTCACAGAGAGCGACGCCTACCTGCAGCTGCTCATTGACCAGGCTCGTCAGGTCAGTGGGGACAAAACTTCCAAGGCATTTTGTGATGTTTCTTGCAAAGACTGCAGTGAGAGTACCAATTCATAAGCCTTCATAATAATACTGATTCCATACTCAACTTATTTTTTGTGTTCTTATTATGCATTTGTCATTAATTCTGATGTAAGTGACTGCCTTATTTGGTGTTCAGCTCGAGCGCCACCAGCCCAGTGATGAAGAGGAGCGTCGCCGCTGCCTGCTGGTGCTGGACAAACTCAACACGCTCCTGGAGACTGTCAAGCACGCCATCGTCTTGCTGCAGGTCTTTGCTGTGCACGTGTTTTGTCTTTTCTGTATTATTCTTAACTATTGAGTGATAAAGCTATCGTCTTGCTGCAGGTCTTTGCTGTGCACGTGTTTTAAATTTCTGTATTCTTAACCATTGATAAAGCTATCGTCTTGCTGCAGGTCTTTGCTGTGCACGTGTTTTGTCTTTTCTGTATTATTCTTAACTATTGAGTGATAAAGCTATCGTCTTGCTGCAGGTCTTTGCTGTGCGCGTGTTTTAAATTTCTGTATTCTTAACCATTGATAAAGCTATCGTCTTGCTGCAGGTCTTTGAAGTGTACGTGTTTCGTCATTAGGCTGCATTATTTATAACTATTGAGTTGCTCCATAGTTATTTATTATGAAAGAAATAGCTGAAATGAAACAGATAACTTGCGCATAAAATTAATATATTTAATAGCATGTCGGGAATGATGAGGCTTTATTTTTAGTTTATGTTTTTGTTCCTAAGTAACTTGTTGACTAAGCTGGTTAAATGAAGCCGCTTAGGTGACATTTTATTTCACCTATAGCCTTCATTTTTGCTCTCACTCAAATCACGTGCTTTACAGATCGCCAAGAACACAGCGTTCCCTGCCAACGACGTGTACCAGCCCTGCAACGCCCCCAGCAGCAGAAGCCTCCCTGCCCCTGCTGCTGACCTCATCAGGAAGGCGGGCAGCAGCGGCAACGTCTGCAGCAGCGGCAACAGCAGTGATGATGGAGCTGTAGTCGTCAGGAGTGCCTCAACACGATCGCGGTACAAATGATCACATTCAATAGAATACTTGTAATATATTGGCCAGATTATTTGCTCATACTATAGCATTCTTACAATATTTTGGCCAGGTTATTTGCTCATACAATAGCATTCTTACAATATTTTGGCCAGGTTATTTGCTCATACAATAGCATTCTTGCGATATTTTGGCCACGTTATTTGCTCATACAATAGCATTCTTGCGATATTTTGGCATGATTATTTGCATTTGAATAATATGAGATGGTGCTGCTGCGGTTAATACACTAGCAGGATATTTTGTGTGTGTGGTGCAGTCATGTCACCGTGAGACTCAGTGTTGCAATCATAATCATTGTTCTGTATTTTCTGGCTGCAATATGAGTTTCTTTGATAATTATCCAGTTTCGCAAATGTTCTTTCATTTTGAATGTCAATATTGTTGAAATGTTGGCCTTTAAGTTCAGGGATCAGAACTCTGGATGGAAGCTGTTTGCTTGGAAGCTGTTTTAACTGTGAATGGAACATTCCGTGTTGTGATATGCATTAACCTTGTAGAAGAACCTTGTCAGAACTGACAACAATTTTATGTTTTGTCTAACTTTTTAGCAAAAAATAAAATGGACAGGTGACAGCTTATGATATTTTATTCAACAATTAGCTGAAGCTAGTTAGATGCTGAGTCAAGTTCTCATATTGCTCCTCATAATTGACTAACCACAAATTTTTACTCGACCAGAGAGCCGAATTTTAATGCGTGTTTACCGCATAATTCTCATTCCTGATTTCCATGCCCACCTTGCACCTTATATTTCCACGCCTGCGCCCCAGTTGTGGGGAAGGCAGCCGCGTCCTCCCCGCGGGACTCACGGCGTCCCCGACACAGCGGCGCCTCGCGCGCCCCGCCGCGCACGGCCGAGCGCCGCCGCCCGTCGCCGACGACGCTGACAGCGACGACCCCATCAGCTTCATGGCCGAGCATGTCCTGACCGGCATAGAGGTGAGGGTCAGGGGAGATGAGGAGGTGGGGGGTGAGGGTAGTGAGATGAGGGGAGGTTGTTGAGAGGTGAGGGTCGTGAAGTGAGGGTAGTGAGAGGAGTGAGGTGAGAGTGGTGAGGGTAGTGAGATGAAGGGAGGGTGGTGAAGGTAGTGAAAGTAGGGCTGTGAGGTGAGGGTAGTGGGGTGAGGTGAAGGGAGGATGGTGAGGTGAAGGGAGGATTGTGAGGTGAAGGGAGTAAGGTNGTAAGGTGAGGATGGTGAAGTGAAGGGAGTAAGGTGGGGATGATGAAAGTAGTGAGGTGAGGTTAGGACCAGGGCGCGAGCAGGCCGTGGCTATGAGCAGAATTAACGCTGGACAGTCGCTGTGCTTGCAATAGAACGACGTTTTAATGGTCTTACTTGCCCATCGTAATCATTAGTAAATAGAACGATCCGACAATTTATAATATAAATTGAGCAATTGCGATCTGTGCATGGCGTTGAAGTTGGGAACAGGAGAATAACTTAGCATTGGAGTTGCTCCAACATGGCATTGGAGTGTCCAACAGGAGAATAACTTAGCTATCCCTCCGTTGCACCAGGTGGGGCGAGAGGTGCTGTGCAGCGCCTCTGTCAGCGCGCGCTGCAACCTCGACGACCTCACCTCCTCCAGGAGCCTCCCTGACGGTGAGTCCTGCGTCCTCTGATGTAGTAGCCAGACGTCGCTCTGCCGGTGAGGGTCATCCTTTTTAGCGCATTTTCTCATTTGTGGAAAAAATGCACTATTGTGCTCTCCATGTTCGTCCGTCTGTCTGTCTGTCTGTCCGTCTGTCTGTCTGTCCGTCTGTCTGTCCGTCTGTCTATCTGTCTGTCTGTCTGTCTGTCTGTCCGTCCGTCTATCCGTCCGTCTGTCCGTAACTTCACGTTTTTGTCGGCGAGGAAATGCGCTCTCTGTCACTCACTGCAGTGAATACTGAGTTATATTTTTTCATCCTTCACAGTGTCAATGCCAGACATGACTAGGATAATAAGTGCCATCCTTCAATTATCCTCCCAAGCCAGACTCGTCCTGAACAGGATAATGTGGAGACGCTTCTTGGGGTAACTCTAACGTTTAGCTTCGTCAAGGATGTATTCCTTCAAATTATCGTTGATATTGGTCATGGATTTGATCGATGGAATATCCATCTCTGCCAGCTTCATTAGGTGTGTATGAATTATTCATAATTGAAAAAAATTTGTGTTGAAAATTCCATTACAATCCACACATCTAAGGAAGGGAAGAAGTTTTCTTCTTGAGTTAAATTTCCCTTAATTATTTGCCATTCATGAAATAGAATTAATTGAGTTAAACTTGTTCAGATATTTGACTATATGAGATGATTTTGTTTCCACTGAATTTAGTAACGAAGGGAAAATATTAAGGGCAAGATATTGCCAGCGTAGGTCACGTCCGAATTTCTGTTACGACCACGCCCGGCCAGACCACAGTTGTGGCCGCTTAATTATTATTATTGTTGTGGTCTGTGTCATCAAGTCTTGAGTTTAGGTGCAAACGCAATCGTCTCTAAAAGTCTTACGGTCTTTTCAATTTAGCAATTTAGCTAATTTGATGTATGTATTCAATTGAGTCTTCTTTAAGGTAATAATTATAATTTTTCATGTTCTTTACAATATGGCTAATTCCGTGTATATATTCAATTGAGTCTACTTTACGGTAAAAAGTATAATTTTTCATGTTCGTTATACCATATGGCTAATTCGGTGTATGTATCCAATTGAGTCTACTTTATGGTAATAACTATAATTTTTCACGTGCTTTACAATTTGGCTAATTCGGTGTATGTATCCAATGGAGTCTATTTGAAGGTAATACGTATAATATTTCTATTTTAAAAGAATAATACGAAAGTGTTAAATATGCGCTGTTTGTTTACGTGCACAGTGCCGGTGACTTCGTACTCAAGTTCTGAAGACGAAGACTTCTTCGACGCCGACGACTACACGCCTGCGTGAGTATACAATACATGTATATCTATAGAAATATTCAAAATAAACGCCTGCTTTAGTGTTCGTTATAAATATTCCCACGGTTTCCATCTGAACGCTGAGGTTCTGTTATACAGAAACTATAATTGATGTGCTCGACGAAGTTCGAGAATGGCCCCCGCAACATTTTCTGGACACGCATACCGTATCAGAATAAAAAAGCCTGGTTTTCCGTGGTCTTTGTGATGGTCCTAGTCCTAACGTTACCGCGCTCCTCCAACATCATGGTTAAACTATATAAGGTTGACAGAGGTGGGCAGTAGCGCGCTACATGTAGCGGCCGCTACATTTTCAGTAGCGGTAGCGGCGCTGCATTTAAGCAATTGTAGCGGTAGCGGTAGCGCGTGCTACATTTAGAGCATGTAACGGTAGCGGAAGCGGCCGCTACATTTCGAAGTAGCGCTGCCCAGCTCTGAAGGTTGATCCACGAGAAGTTCCGTCTTTCAGTTCAGCTTTCTTGTTACGTCTCTGAGATCGAGAAATATAGACAATCCGTCATTCACATGACAGATTGGTTGACTGGTTTGAACGCATTTCGGTGATTGGTTAATACCCGTGACGTCACTGATATCAGTGACGTCACAGGCGAACAACGAGCTACATCCGCTAAAATGAGCGGCGGATGGGTCAACCTTACACTAGTTCAACCATGCTCCAACATAATCTCGTCTCTCAGGAACTAAATTCATTTTTGATGCGGTGTTCACGGAATTTTTGATTTTGTGCTTGTGAAAACTTACGTTCAGTATGCGAATACTTAATTTAATGCATTTACCCTAGTTCTTCTGTCGTATAATTCACATTATTCGGTGTTTCATATCTTGGCTTGGAAGAAATTTGTGAACTATCTAAGAGGGTTAAGATTTGTCACTGGATGTCTTGCATTGACTCGCCTTGGACTCGCCACTCTGGGTTGCCAGATGAGCTTTGGGTCTGAAAGCCTGAACAGTATATGTGCGCAAGGTTAACGGTTTTAAATACCTGAAATTTGAAATTTTCCTGTTGATTTCAAATGGGTCCGTTTCTAGCCTTTTTGTGAGCGAAATTGGCTTTTTGCTCTTGGCTCCATCTGGCAACTCTGTCGCAGGCTCGCACTTCACAGCTCGCGCCTTAGTGTTTAGCTAGACGCGGTTGTGTGAGGTTATGCGTTGGCTTTGCGCTCCGTTCGTCTTCGCGTCATCAGTGAAACGAAGTGCTATTTCGTTCACTATAAGTTTTTTATCTCATTTTAATTCGAAAATATTCTAGCATCTTATCTTTTTTTCAAATGGATAGACGTTACTGCTGTTAGTCAAAATGTGCCCCTATATTGAGAGCTTAGTTCAATCAAACGTTCTCGCTTTGCACTGCACCAGCTCGCAGTACAGTGCACCAGCTCCCGGTGCAAGTTGTATTTGAAGAATTGATTTCTGTTTGATTGGCCAAATAGCTAATCTTAGTTTCCGTCTTAGCTCTGCATTTTTTGAGAACATAATATTTACTCTATTACCAAATTATATGTTTGTTAATTTTCTTGGTAGTGTAATTAGCCAATCAAATCATGACACGAAAATGTTCATAATGCCGTGGAAAATGCAATGATTACATGGTAAGGTCTGTCATCATGTAAATGCTATGCTGACGACGCAATGTTTAAATTGATACTATAACACTGACGACGTAACCAGCGTCAGGGAAGCGTGCTGCGTGCATCACCGATGACCCTGACCTTTAATTGATGAGACTCATGACACTAACTCGCGCCGCTCGCATGAAGCCGTCATAAGCTTTCTCCAGTGATTATCAGTGCTTGTAGTTTGTACTGCCATTAGTCCAGCCTAATTATTTATTTACCTAAACCTAATGCTTCAGGCTTTAATTTCAAAATGTGTGGGCATGTTTGACGATGCTCAAGTTAAGTAATGTTCTGATTTGACCTGTACTTGCGTAGCTTGACGGAGCCAGCCTAAAACTTGTTTATGCAATTTCTACGCAAACTGAAGTGTAACTTTCTATAATGACGTCTAATATTCATGCCCACACCATCTTCTCAAGACAACGTTGTTTCTGAGATGTGTGGATCCGAGCAATCGATCCACATCGCTAAATTTGAACTTCTGCAGATTGCTTTACATTTTCTTAATTTCCGTCGGATTGCATTGCATTACTCGCGGATATTCGGCTCCTGTTTAGCAAGAATCTGAATTCATGGAATTATTTTGCGGATGCCTTTAGCCTGTTCACAATTTTAATGCTTGCGTTCCTGCTATCGCTGTCATTGATGTTTCTTTGATGATCGCTTTCCATATCTCATTATAAAAACTTTGATTTCCGATTAAGATATTTTGAACTTTCCTCCTCGTAAGAATATTTTTTTAATGATTGTAAAGCACAACTAACAGATGCGCACAGCTGCTCTCATTCAAGGTTGTGCGCGATTCTCTTGCAGTGGTGAGATCTGAGGCTTCCAATGTGTGCGCTGGAGCTCGCATATGATAGCTCAATTTGTGCCCGGATGTTGAGAGCGAGCGCGTTGTTTCCTCCTGACGCTGTAGTGTGGCTTAATAATAATATAATAACCTGGTAATAACCCTTAATAACCTGGTATCATGTCTGCCTCTTGACTGGTCTCACTCTATAGGCACTCTGTCATACAGTGCGCTGTTACGAAGATGTACTATGTTCAATGGTAATGCCATGTCACGTCCGCGTCAAACTTCTGCACCATTCTGCATTCTACATTTTGCATCCTCATACTGCATCCTACATTGTATCCTCATTCTGCATCCTTATACTGCATCCTACATTCTTATACTATGTCTTGTGTTAACAGTAATGTTGTATCGTTTCTTTCACTGGGCCATTAGGCTGCGTGCTTTGCTGCTCTCGTGAAACTCCTCGCTCACAACCACTACTGTTTAGGTCGCCACTGGTAATTAGGCCTGAAGTTTAGCAGCGCCATAATTCTGTTCAGTAGCCGAGATACCTAGCGATGCATGATGTACTAGAACTTCCTTCTGTGCCGGCTGAAAATTAATAAGTAAGACAAGAAGAAAACATTAGTGCTCGTCCAATAATGTGAGGCGCGTGTACATGAAGTGAAGCATTGTTCTGGAAAAACATCTCTGCACTCAGCATTTTACTGCGCTTTTTGTACGTCAGGGTTTTATTTAGGTCGGTTATACAGGGTGCGGCGTGGGAACTTACTCTTTTAAAAAAATCACAAAGTAAAAAGTATTAAAGATAGCGTTTTAATTCTTTCTTTTTTACAAAGAGCTACATTTAAAGTTTCGTTGGGTTTACTTACAAGTTTAATTCTTGAATATTACATCTTGTAGGTGACCTCCATGCTGTTCAATACATTTTGTCTAGCGAGATCGNCGCAACTGAACTGAGTGGACGAAAAACTTCATAGCCCGCGCACCATATTGCGCATGGCGCCACCTTCCTAGGACTAATGGCCGCCACGTGGCGCGCAATTCAAATAAGTAAGTTCCCGCGCCGCACCCTGTAGTAAACTTCTTTTATCATTATATTCCCTTACGACATCCGCAACCTGGCCGTGAGGGTACTGTAAACTCCACGGAAATTGCGGCAAACATTTAAGTATCTTTGTCTTGATCATCTATTATGCCTTCGCTTTTAATTGGAATTCTCAGCCCAAAACGCTCAGGAATGATTGTTAAGTTTCATCTGCTTACATGCTTTCGCCAATAAACCGTCTCAATCTTGCAGAATAAAAAGTCGTTAGGTCTGTGTGTTTACTTCTGCTAGAAAATTTCATCTCTTTAAAGTTTTAAGTATAAATTATTTTAATTAAACATTAGGTTGCGTTTCGTATTGTATTTCGTAGCTGATGGAATATTTTAAGAGTTTTCAATATTAGCCTTGCCTTATATTTTTTCTGGGGCACCCTCGAGTGAATGTTTGTGCGGCACATAATAAATGTTTGAGAACACATATTAGAGAAGAGATGTCCACTAATATTCATCGCACTCTAGCTATTTCCTTGCTACTCCTTCATTGCACATCTTCTCTCATGCCACTCCTTCATTGCACATCTTCTCTCATGCCACTCCTTCATTGCACATCTTCTCTCATGCCTCTCCTTCATTGCACATCTTCTCTCATGCCTCTCCTTCATTGCACATCTTCTCAACCCTCGTTCCTGCCGATCATTCTAATATATTCCTCCATGCTGCTGCTGCAATATTATAGACGCCTGTCATGGTGACGCCTATATTATTATATAATAATATAGGCGTCACCTATAACATATAGGTATATTATAGACGCCTGTCATGCGCGGCGTCTACACCACTAAAGTACTCCTCCTCGAGCGCTCTCAAGTCGCTCAACTTCTGATTTTTCGATAAAAATATTCGGGTTTTGTTACATGGCTGTCTCGTGGCTCTGATTGGAGCCATACTGCGTTCTAACGACCTATACCCTCCTAACGATCGCTCTTATGGCTTGAGTGCGCTCGTTTTCTTTTGGAGAAAAATTAAGTCGATGCCTTCGTGTGCCACGGACTGCGATAGCAACGGAGTAGCGAGAAGACTTCTTTGTTTAAGTTGACGAGCTAATGTCACGTGTGTGTTTAACTGACTAGTCACTTTTTACGAGTAAGTAAAGACTGCAAAAGTCCTGTTTGAGTGCAGAGTGTCGGCAATACTACGACCGTGACAGCGACGATCAACAATAGTTGTACATCAAGTGCTGCAATTATTATGTGCCTCATAGATAGCTTTCTTACTAATCACGTACAGAATCTCTAATCTCTTGATTCATCAAGTGAACTTCATTTTCTTGCGTGTCATAATCCTCTTACAACATCCGCGACATGTTCGTGCATGAGGGTGCTGTAAACTCCACGGTAATTGCGGCAAACATTTAAGTATCTTTGTCTTTATCAACTACCTTCGCTATGGCTCCTTGTCTATGTTGATATTTATTAATTTTTCGTTGTTTACTTATGAAGTAT